CCTGTCCAGGATACAGTGGATGGAATTTGAGGATGGACATGGGGACTGGCTATGGGAGAGGGGCTGGTCCTCAGCTTCTGCTTGAACAAATGGCAAGGGGAGGAAATAGAAGAAGGAAGGATTCTTGGGGTGAGGCAGAAGGCCAACCGGAAGTTGTGCTTTGTCCATGTACAGTGTCTTACTGGTTCCTACAAGGAGACATAAATGCAGGCATCACTGGCATACAGCCCTCTCCTCTGTCTCCTCCGGAGCCTTAAACAAACACCATTGTTTAGCTTTCTTCTCAAAGCAAACAGCTCATCTTTGAGTAGCTTCTCCATGAGTCTGTCTTGTCCGTCTTTTCACTCAGAACCTAGCCATCTAGGGAACCCTGAGGTACTGCTTCGCATTGTCACAGGCCAGCTTGGTTCCAGTGACAGTGAGGACCAGGGCTCGGTCTGCCATCCAGGGAGCTCCACGTGGCTTCCAGACACCGCACCATTTTAGTCCCCTCCCGTGCCATGCAGGAATATGTTACTTGAAGAGAAGAAAGATAAACTTAAGTCTGAAATGCCCACAAATGCTGATGTAACTGAATCTCTGCTGAGGTTTCCTCATGAAGCCTCCAGTAAATTAATAATAGAGCCACCCAAAATAGGCACCGGTGTAGAAGTATTTTTCAATTAATTATTTTTTTATAAAATGGCAACTGATTGTTTTGTGGTGTGAGATCCTCGAGATCAAAACGTAAGCTCTGTTCTTCATTTAGTTGCATGTAGACACGCAGAGAAAAGCTGTGACATTATTAATCACTATATTCAGTTATGATTGATAGGCTTTTCTGCGGGGAGGAAAAAGTGCCGCAGATACAATCTGTCCCAACAGCTCTGCGATATGCTAATATTTTCTTCAGCTGAAAGGGGAGATGTGTTCAAATACCTGCTGAAATCGGCAATTAACACCAAGTGCACCAAAGGATGGCTGATGAGGGTGGGACAGTGTCAGGAATTAACCGGAAGCCTGAGTGTTTTGGTACGCGGCCTCCTTGCTTACCAAAGCAGCCTTTTTATTAGGCAGCCAGACTGCATCTGGGTGTGTTCATTCACACAAACACGGTGTTAGAGTGTTAAGGTGGGTTTCAGAAATGGCGTTGATGCTAACAACTGTCTCCTCTATTCTTCCAGCAATCATTTTTTAAATTTCTTGTTCGCCTACTTGGGAAAACGAATGGACCCATCAATTTTGTCTCCTCTCCATGAGGATGTTACAGAGAGAGCATGCAGCTTAGCACCTATAATTATTTACTAATTGCCTCTGAAATGACTCAGGCTGCATCTATACAACTCTAAGGCACTGAGGTAATCCCATAAAAATGTGTGTCGGATCACTGGTGTCCAACGCACACACTAGTCACAGCTCACTGGGTAGACCAGATGTTCCGGCATCATGGTGCCCGGACCTTGGAGCCTTCTTTCCTTCTGAGGGTTTCTATCACTTGGATGGTGACGTGATCGGTATGAGAGCAGACAGCCTGGGGCTTTGGATTTCTGTTTTTCTTTTTATGTTCCTTTAACTGAATTCTCCATCCTTACATTCTAGTTGTCAGCTAAGCACAGTTTCCTTGTGTGCCGGGAAAAAGCTCAGCATTTATGTGCCTTTTTGTTTGTTTCGTTTCTGTAGTGCTGGGGACTGAGCTCGGGGCCTTCACACTGAACTACATCCTCAAAACCCCTGCTTTTATTACTTTGAGACAGGGTCTCGGTGAATTGCCCAGCCTGGCCTTGGATGTGGGATCCTTCTGCCTCAGCCTTCGGGAGTATTGGGGTTCAGGGCATGTGCCACCACACCCAGCTTAAGGCCTAGCATTTATAAACACACACCACATTCTCACATAAGTCACAGCAACTCTATTTCTCAGTAACATCACTGGGGGCTCACAAGGCCACCTTCAGGCCTGGGTGGACTTTTCTTTCTTCCTTAGCTTCTTTCTCTTCCACCTCCACCTTGTGTAAAAAGACGGAAACTCTGTTATCCTGGCCACATAGTGGAGCTTTGCTTTGCTCCTTTCCTTCCCTGGCAGATTCCCTGCTCTGGAAGTGAACAGGCTAAATCTCAGGTCTTGGACTTGGTGCTACCCCAGGCTGGAGCTGGGGCCCCCAGGGTAAGCAGGGAACTGGGAAGACATGGGGGAGAAAGAGAGAGGGAGAAAAAGAGAGAGACAGAGAGACACAGAGAGAAAGAGAGAGAGAGAAAAAGAGAGAGAGGTGCAACAGGGGTTGGAGAGAAGCAGTCGCCCAGAGGCCGCCCAAGTGGGTGCTTCAGGCAGGAGCCGACCCCGCGCTCATCCAGGAGGGTGGGCACAGGCTGCTCACAGAGCTGGAGTGCGTCCGCTTTGGAGCCCGGCCAGGTGTCACATCAGCTGGGTACAAAGCCGCAGCAAGCCCCTTCCTGCAGAGGCCCTGAGAGGCAGGGCTGCGTGGTGGTTAAAAAGATGAGGATGTCACAGCCAGCCTGCGGGGCAGAACTACAGCTTCTCCACCACCCGCTGCACCCTCCGCCAACCAGGTCCCCTCTGCTCTCAGTCTCCTCTGTGCCAACACGGGACACGCTACACCGCCTTGTTCCTTCTCCGGCGACGCGATGATCTATTTATTTAATTTTTTGAAGTACTGGGGGAGTTAAGCCTCTGCACTGAGCTACATCTCCAGCCCTTTTTTCATTGTTTATTTTGAAACAACCAAGTTGTCCGGGCTGAGCGCAAACTTGCAATCCTCCTGCCTCTGCCTCCCAAGAAGCACTTAGAATTTCTAGTAATTGACATTGAAGTATCTACATGGCACACCTGGGTGGTGGCAGTACCTCGGTAACCCAGGGAGAGACAGGCTGGTCTGCCTTGCAACCCAAACCCTCCTGATTTCTTCTTGCAGGGGACTGGAAGTTCTGTTATCAAAGTTGGTGAAGCTGATGTCTGCTCCTCCTGACAGGCCTGGAGTCGGGGAAAGCTTGCTTCTGGAAGGGTCCTGCAGGGGAACCAGCTCCATGAACTAACAAACGGGAAGGGCTCACACTTACTGTCTTGCATGTGAGAGGCTGGGCTTGTATTCTTCTCATTCATCCTTGTAGCCCGGAGTAATTCAAAATGGTGCAAGAGACCTGTCCCAGAAGCAGCCAGACCCTGATCTCTCCAGATCCCTCTGCCTGGGTGGCGGGGGGAGGGGAGCCGCAGTTCCGGCTGAGGCCCCAGGGGGGCAGGGGGAGCAGACATCCACTTCACCAGCTTTGACAACAGGAACTTCCAAATGGGAGCCTGCCCAGGAGGCCCGATGGCCACTGGGCTGACAGCTTCCTCCTCCCCCAGTGCTGTGGGAAACAGCAGAAGTTCTTCCTATGATGCCTGGGGTCACTGAGGACAGGAGAGAGGCCACCCCGCCTCTCAGAAGCTGAGCCTTAGACAGCCAGGGGTACTGGAGCAAGGGGGAGGAACGTACTGGAGGCTCAGAAATCCTACTCCTTGAACAAGAAGAAACTGGGGAGACAAGCACCAGGGCTCACGTAATAATAATGGCAACTGCTGAGTGCTCCAGGTGCTTATTACTGGGTACCTTTAACCACACACAGTCCTTCGAGGAGGCCTTGTTACCTCCCCTGACCCAATGACCAGGACTTTGGCTAAGGCCACCCGGCGGGCAGAGCAGGCTGCTGTGTGCGCCGTCCAACCACAGGGCAGAGGAGACGCCGCTGCAGCTGGGGCACAGCGTTCTCTCATCGATGGCGCCTTGACCTCGACCTTCCCCATCCTTGCAGGAAGACCCACTAGAACTGCACTGTTTCCACCTTTGCCTGGGGAGACTTTCTGTGAGGAGAGGCTGGGCTAAGAAGAATTAAGTGAGAGGCCTCAGCACGAGGGAGTTTGGTTTCAAAGTTGCTCATCGCAGCCTTAGTGCTGGTCATTTACAATCCCAGCCCGGGTCCGTTTGCTGCATGCGAAAAACAATGCTTTGTTATCTATCTGCAGCTATGTCATGCTGTTAACACAAATGTTATAAACAGCTGACCGACCCAGGAGGATTTCACAAATAAAAGACCTGCACCAAAAATAGTATCACCCATACCACACATTTCTAACAGAATAACCAGTGGACCACAACAGAAGAAAGGGATAATTATGTCAGGGTTCCTACTGATGCCAGCTACCGCCAAACAGGTTTTGAGGAATGCATAATGCTACAAAAATCACCACATTAAGACGAATTGTCTGGCGTTCATGGTTGCAGCCAGGAAACTTGAAGCAAACATTTTGTGGCTCACTGGGTATTTTTGATTTTGAAATGTTTGAAAGTCTCAGAAGAGTTCAAAAAAGAAAGAAAATTTGTCACATTTCAAACCAACATATTGCATCAAATAAATTAAAACATGATTCTCAAACTGCTCGGGTAAGTGACAGGCTCAAATGCATTTTAAAAAGGCGCCCGATTCCAAGCCCCGTGCGACATCGCCGTCTCCTCCTCCCATCTTGAGCTGCGAGCGAGACCTAACCATCATGAGCGCAGACAACGAGGCCACATGCTCTCCCTCCAAACACGCGCCGCAGCTCCCGTGGCTAAATCACTTCAGCCTTAAATATGGATCGCTTTGAGTTGGCCTGGTTATTTTTACCACGCTGCTTTTGATTGGCATTTACTGCTGAAAAGCAGTTGTTTCCTCCTCCTAAAGAAAAACCTGCTCGGTCTTACCACAAAAACAGAAAAGGCAGCCCTGCTAATAAAGATCCAAAGTTAATGCTAACGTAATTAATATTCCAGGATTTCTGCCGGTGCCACTCATCAGAAGCGATGCCATCCCAGGCAAAGCCACAGAATGTGGCTTTCACGTCGACCTGGGCTGGGCCCCGCTGAGCCAGGCGGCTTCGATGTGAGAGCTCGCTGACAAGGCGCGGAACTGTGTGCCGCCATCTCCCGGGCTGGTAACTATGGCTGACTGAGAGTGTGTGGGGAGGGAGTGCTTTTAAAGACCTCCGTTACCTTTTCTCCGACTTGCATCTCAAGTTCTTTCAGTGTCCGGCAGCGGTCCATTTCATTCCCTACTCCCCTTCCAAATGAAAACAAAGTATCTTTGTTAAAATGTTTGAACCAGACATTTGTTAACCATTAACCAAAATGTCTATGCAGGCACAGATCATAGAGATTTCTGAACAATCTCTTTTAATATAATGACATTTATTTCCTACCCAGGAGTGAGGGAAGAAGTGGGTTAAAACACTGATGACTCCATACCTAAATGTGCAGTTAGGAGGTGGGCTGGTGGGAAGGGGAGGAGGAGGCGTGCAGCTGGGGGCGTGGCCTGGAAGGGTGCATGTCCACCCCCAGCTCCTCCCTTCCCTCTGTGCTTCCCGGCCACCATGATGTGAGCAGATTTTCCTCTGCCAGGCCCTTCCACCATGCCTTCCTGCCTTGGAACCAGCTGACCACGGACTGAAATTGTGAACCAAAATCACCCTCTCCTCCTTTAAGTTGTAAGTGTCAGGTGTGTGCCAGCAATAAGAAAGTGACTAAGAGAGCTGCCCATTTCATCTCACTGGGACCTGTGGATCAGGGACCACCACTGTCCTGACTTTACAGACCCGGAGCCAAGGGTCTTCCCGGGTGAGGGGAATGAGGTCAGATACGGGCAAGTGCAGGTGACTGGTTCAGAACCAGCTGCAAAGTCCCTCCTGCTACGCTTTGTCCTGACATTGCAGGGCTCCCCGTCCTCACGGGGGAGGACTTTACAGCTGATGTGCATCTGTACCATCCCTTGGGCTTCACTGACCAGAGAGATGCTGTCAATTACTGGCAACAGTGACAGATGGTAAGTAAGTAAGGTGAAATAATAACAGTCTGTGAAGAAAATACAAGTACACAGGGGGATAAAAAGGAGACAGGGAAGATGCGATGACTCTTTTGGACAGGATGGGCAACAAAAGCCTCGGTGACCAAGTGTCATGGAATGGAGACCCAGGCACTGAGGGGTGACAGAGCTCTCCAGACACACAGAGGGGATGTGCAGCCAAGCGCCTGGCACATCCGGTGCCAGCAGGACTGAAGCAGGGAGGCCAGAGCTGGAGGAGCATGCAGAGGTGCATTGGCTAAGTCCAGGTGCAGAGGAAGAAGCCTGCCTCAGGAGCACAAGGATCTGGACTCGGAACTAAGGGAAGAGGAGCCATCTGAACATTTGAAGCAGGAATTACCTTCACGTTACATAGGAGGCCCCAAGCCTCAGAGAGGTTAAGTGGTCTGCTTTAAAGATAGCACTGGTCAGTAATCCAAATCTCCTGATACCATGCTGCGTGTGCTATTTTAATACTGTTTTAATGACCTATTCAGTAGATGCAAATCCCCATAACATACTGTCGTGATTCAGATCTGGGGTGTCCTCCACAAGTCTCCTGTGTTTGGAAGATGATCAGACCACGGGAGTGCCATATTCATCAGCGGTATTCACAGCTGACTTGCCCTTAGGAGGTGGGGCCTGGTTAGAGGTGGGTCCCTGGGGGCTGGTCTGGAAGGGTATGTTTCCCTCCTCACTCCTCCCTTCTCTCATTGCTTCCTGACGACCATGAGGTAAGCAGCTCTCTTCTTCATAGGCCCTTCCATCATGCCATTTCTGCCTGAGGGTCAGCTGACCATGCACTGAAACCTCTAAAACTGTGAGCCTAAAACCTTTCTTCAGATTGTGAGTGTCGGGTGTTGTGTCTCAGCAATGGGGAAAGACATACAGGTTTAAGCACTAAGAATAAAAATCAAATGCCTGTGTAGCTACCACCCAGCTAAAGAAATGGAACAGTACTAGGGATTCAGAGCTCCAGTAGACACTGTCTCCCCAGCTACACCTCCTGCCTCCCTGCACTCCCGCATGCATGGGGCCCAAACTGCAGCCCAACTTCTTCCTCCACCCACACTTTCCTTCAAGGTGGCCCCTAATCTACCTCTCCCCACAAATTCTATCTCAGTCTGTGCTGCAGGAGAACCCCACCTGTGACCATCAGTTGTCAGATACTACTTTAGTGACATTAGGTCTCCATAGATTATTATTAAATGGTCTGTCCTTTAAAATTTATTCGCTTTTAAACTTTCATGCTTATACAATATTTAGGCTTTTCTCTTACTGGGCTCTTTCTGGTTGTCTAGTCAGACAATCTTTGTCTTTTAAGCAGAACATTTATTATAATTAAATGCTTAAGTCTCAAAAATTGATTTTGCCTGAAATCAATATAGCTACCTCTACTTTCATTTCTTTTTGTATGATATAATTGCTTTCTCCTCTTGTATCTCTCAACCTACTTCTTTTTATTAAGTGTTCTTTTATTTTTCAAAAGCCAGTAGCTGGAATTTTTATCTAGTCTGATATTCTCCGTCTTTTAACTAGACTATTTAATCCTTTTACATTTAACATAATTTTATAATGTGCATATAAGTACAGGTCTATGAATTTGTGTTCTTTATTTGTTCTAGATTTTTCTATTCTTTTTTAATCTTCTTTTAGACTGAATGTTTTAAAAAGTCATTTCATTTTTTCTCCAACTATCTGGAAATTAAGCATTTTGTTTCTATTTTTTGGTGATTATTCTAAAACTCAGGATGTGAGTACATATTTCAATGCTCAGAATTAATCAGTACCCCTCTCCACCTCCCTGCTAGTAAGTGGAATTGAGAAGATTTTAACTCAATTCATGTACTGTCAGCTTGCTGTTAAATATTTTAATTGTAAACATTTTATTCAACACATACAAAAACTTTGTAGCCATTTTGTACAGCCAGTAGTCATTTCTTTTACCCTCATGCTGCCAGCTGTCCCAAAACCTCAGACCATCCACCTGAGATCACCTCCCTTTTGCCTTGGTCATACCTCTTAGTCAAGCTCTGCAGGATTTAAATTACCTGGGGTTTTGTCTTAAAATGTCTTTAACCTCAGGCTTTATTTTTTAATGTTCCTCAATGACTTTTATCATGTCTCTAATCTCCAAAATTTCAGAATAAGCTCTCAAGATTGAGAGCCATTAGAAGCCTACAGGGTCAAGATGCTATGTGGCGGGCTTCTCCCGCACGGCTTCCTTTGCTGGTAGCTTCTAGGGCTGCTTGCTTCCCCTATTTTTTTCTCTGCCACGGGCTGCCTGCCTAGACTGGTCTTCATCCACATCTGCTCTTTTAACCGTGTTCCACTGCCACAGTCCCCTTCATCCCTGAGAGTGTTGGTAGGTGGCTGGTGGAGCGGCAGTGCAGACTGTCTCTGTGAGTAAATTCAGCTTCACGTCATGTCAGGCTCTGCAGTAAGTGCTCCAGGGCCTGGAGGTGAGCCATCGCATGCAGTGCCAGAACGCTGTTCAGATCTTCTGCTAGACCTGGGTTGATGGTGTTACACGGGGAAGACTTCAGTTACTATTGGGCTGAGTGTCGCACGGATGACCTAATCATGTGCAGGGGCGCTTTCTTCGGCACACAGGTGAAAGTGTCCTACATGTCCACCAGAAGCAAGACTCAAAGGTTAAATGTGGCAGAACAGTTCTTTGGGTGTTTCTGACAGATGGCTGCTCCGCCCATTATTACAGGTAATGTAGGGTGCTCTGTGCTGCACACAATGATAGTTCCGTGTTTTGCATTTATCAGGGTTCATACAGTCAGGGACAGTTTCCCTTACATCATTCAGGTCACAAATATCTCTGGAAGTAAATATCCTTTGGAGTCTTCATGTTGCTTCTGACTGAGTTGATTCCCACTGACTATTCAGGACCCCCTCTGTGCAAACAGTGCTGATGAGGCAAAAGCGGCCAGCGGAGATGTGAAGCCACTTCCGGGCGGTTTGCAGTCCACATTCTCTAAGGCGCCAGGCTCAGGCAGTGTAGAAACGTGACCTAACGTGGCATATTTCTGGGCGGGCGTGCTATGACCAGACTGTTAGGTCCTACTGCCATAAATTCAAGATCTTCAAGCTGCAGCTCCGTTGAAGTCCCAAGATTCAGCCCCAGCTTCATGACTCGATAACTGAATGACTGCACCAAATACAGCACACTTCACCCGTTGAATGTCATAGCTTGGCACACAGGACATGACAGTGTGGGCTTCCGAGCCTGTGACCACGGGGCTGGTGGGGAGCCGCAGCCCCTGCTGTCCGGTGTCGGGAGACAGGACAGCACTGCATGGCTCCAGCCCAGGAAAACTTCAAGGTTCAAACTGTGAAGCACGATTTCTACCAAGTGCACAGGGCTTTCTTATCATCACACAGCCGAGCGACCATCAAGACAAAGCACCCCAAATCAGGGTGTACCTGTGCTCTGCTATCAGCAGACGAACGTACACTGCGGCAAGGAGAGAAGAACGCAGGGCCCCGCGGGAGACACTTACTCTTAGGGATGTGGAGCAGGGTTCCGGAGCGGCAGATACTCACTTCAGCGCCCTGAAGAGACTGCCGCACTGCTCTGCTGCTGTTGTCTGTCACGGCCACCGCTGCGAGGCAGGTGTCACCGCGGCCCCTCTGCCCTCAGCTTAGCTTCTCCTCTCCCTGCCTTCGACATTTTCTCCTTCACTTTAGTTTTCTACAGTTTCGCAGTGCTACGTCTACTTATGCTTTTGTTTTTCATTACCTGGCTTGAGGCTCTCAGGGATTATCTTTTCAGATAGTATTTCTGCCCTGATCTTTGTCATATGGGTTTGGATCCAGTGTGCCCCTGCTAAGTCAAATGCTGCCAATAGAAGTGCAGCCTTCAGGCCACAAGCTCCTCTCTCATGGAGCTGACTGGGTGTCCCTCTAAACAGGCATGAGGAGCAGGGTTGACCCCCTCTTGCCCTCCTGCTTTCTTCCACGTGACAGTGCAGTTAAGAAGGCTGTCACTGGCACTGGTGCCTTGGTCTCAGGTTTTCCAGCCTTCAGAAATGTGAGAATTAAATTTTTGTTCTTATGAATCACCCAGGCTTAGTATTCTGGTATAGCAACACCAAACAGACTAAGACAAAGAAATCCAGGTACAAGTTCCTTAAGCCTCCTCTATCAAGCCTCCGTGTCTCTCACTCCTGGCATCTGTATTTTATATCTCTTTTTCTTTCTGTGCTGCATTCTGAGTAATTCCTTCAGGTCTATCTTCCACTCCATAAGCGCTCTTTTCAACCATGTTTATTCCTTATTTTCAGCTATCCACTGAATTTTTTTTTTTCTTCTTGTCCTGGGAATTAAACTCATGACCTTGTGCTTGCCAGGCAGGCACTGTGCCGCTGAGCTAAATCCCCAGCCCCTATCCACTGAATTTTATACCTATAATTATTGTATTTTTCAGTAGCAGAAGTTCTACTTTATTTTTTCCTCAACATAATTATGTTTATTCTCTAAAAGTCTTACAGTCTATCAATATGTTTATTTTCCCAGCTAGATATTACCAAGAACAGCCTTTTCTCCCGTTATCACCCAACAAGGATTTACAACCAAACTGCCAAACCCCTTCTGCCACTGGGCTGCCCTCTGACTCTGTAAGGTATTTAGCCAACATGTCAGTGTGCCTCAGTTTTACAAAGCATTACTGTAAAAACAAATGTAAATATAACCCACTCTCCAAAACAAAGGATTCCTGAATACACTAAAAAAAAATACTTTAGTAAATTAACTTTTACCATAAAAAAATCAACAGAGTGCCAATAGTATGAGCAAACAATGTCAGAGACTTTAAGAACTGATAATGAATATGTTTATACAGTTTCAGTCTCTTTTTCACCTTAGGGGGCAGATAGGAAACAACCATACAAATGTGTAGGAGCAGTGGGCCAACTCTAATCTCAGTCTTTTATGATGATTTGGGTACTGACAAATATCACATTTTTGGTGAATCTGCCCATTCCATGGATGTCTCCTTACACGTACATGAGTGGTAGCTAATACCTGCCTAGCAGTTCACAGACATTAGGTCTCTGGCCACTGGCATCAAAGCTTTTTAGAAAAATCATTTTGAGTAGCAAGTTGCTCTCCCCCCATGTCTGAGCTCTGCAGTAGAGCAGGAGCAGTTTACCACCCCTACCAAAGCTCTTGTAGAGGGTTCCAGCTTCCTGGACTGGGGAAGGTGCAAAGGATTGATTCACATAAATAAACAACTTTTCACAGGCTACAAGGGGGAGAAACTTTTTGATGACATGAATGAGTCCCTGGATCATTTGTGTTTGCTCTACAGTCACTTCTTGGCTTTCACTACGGGGGGGTTTCCCACAGCCATAAGCAGGATGTCCGTTTTTTCTTGGTGTTGCCAGCACCTTCCTCTGTCCCCAGTGAAACTGCAGCAGAACAGGAGGCCTCTCTTTTCCTTTCTTTAAATATGTTAGATCCTCAGTTTAGATGATCTCGCTGATAGCACCAATGTTTCAGGTGTTTGCACACATGATTCTACTGCATGATGTTTCTGTTGGTTAGCAGTCCTCATTCTTTGTTTCTTCATATGTTTTTAAGATTGTGTGTGTGTGTGTGTGTGTGTGTGTGTGTGTGTGTGTGTGTGTGTGAGACCTGATGTTCCTCCCACTTTATCTGTAGAGACTCTTCAGGAGCTAAATGGCAGAATCATCATTCCGCTGCGAAAGGCACAGTTAGTCCGGAACCACTTGTAAATAAATCTCTAGTCTCAGACTTTTCAGACCGTGCAGGTAACATTCATTCAGATACAAAGCTGCATGAAAATCAACTTGCAATTACAATTTTTTCCTACTCGCTCAATGCCGGTATTGACACAGGTGGGTTTCCTGTTGTGCTCTTCTGCTAGTAATTATTTGTTCACGAGATCGCAGCTGCCCCACCTTCACACGCAATCCTCCTCTCGTGGTGTCTTCCACCTGAAGCCGGCCCCTTAGGCTTTATATCTTGTGCCCTTTAAGAGAGCAACTTATCCTTTCCATCTTAATCATCAGATTAAAGTTTCACAGTAGGGAACAAAAAGCCCTTCCTACTTTCAGGGTTTCTAGCTATTTTAGTTTTCCCAACAAAGAATATTTAGACGAGGTTATGATCCACACAGCAATCTTATCTCACAAATGGGGATGGTTTTAGGTCAAGAGCACGAAGATATAGTCCACAGAACAACAGCCATTGTTTTGAGTGAGCCTGGAGCCCGCGGCTCAAGGAGCATTCGCTAAATAGCACACAGATGCTCCAGACCATAGAGCGTCCCTTAGCCCATTTTCTGTTGCTGTCACACGATACCTGAGTCTTGGAACTTAATAAAGAAAAAAGGTATATTTTGACATTTTGGCTCATAGTTCTAGAGACCTGAAAGTTCAAGACAGCGTTTGAAGATGGCTCTGTAGTGAGGGCCTCATGCTGTTTCACAGGCGGATTGCAGGGGCACCCGGAAGAGAGAGGACATAAACACCATCCTTGTTTTATAACAGCTGCTCACGGTGGTAACTCATCTAGTCCCCATGAGAGCGAGAGTAAGAACTCATGCCATGAAAGGCATTTTCCTTTCATGCGGGCTCCGCCTCCTGACCCGAGCACCTTCCATCAGCAGCCCTGCCGCTCACTGACACCCCAGGAATCGAGGTTTGAATACAGGGCCGCATCATAGCCGAGAGGCAAAGCCTTTGTCATTCCAGCTAGAGATGCTGCGTAAGTTATTTTTAGTTGTGATTTTTTAAAAAGCACATAACAAAATTTACCATCTCGATCATTTAAGTGCACAACCCAGTAGTGTTAGTGTGTTAACACTGTTGTGCTGAAGATCTTGTTCACCTGCCCACTAAACATCAGTTCCCCATTTCCACACCGCTCTAACCCTCACGCCTAAGCCGCGTGGGTGACGGGTTCAGTCAGGTCAGCGATACTGGCAATACCAAAACTTGCTGACATTTCAGGATCAGATTTAATTCTTCTCCTTGTTTACTTGACTCTTGAGAAAATAAAGCTTATGCATCTAGAGTCAAATAATTAGCAAATGTTATATTACTAAAACAGTATTTCCTAAATCATACACTAGAACCAAAGAACTTCACTGCTTTTACAAACATAAGGGTCATCAAGGTCATACTGCAACCCCTTCATTTTGAAAACAAAGCAAACAAGCCCTAGGCTCATGCTACAGCCAGGAAACACTAAAGGAGCTCATACAAGGATCAGTTTTAACATTCCATTTCTAGCCACCAGAACATGATCACTTTCCAGTGAACAACTCGGGCAGTATACAAAAGCCAACCAATTTAAAATTTGGCTTAATGTTTTACTTCAAAATTAAAATCAATTATTTCCAAATCTAAAATACATTGTATGAAGTGTATTTGCGTTTGTATTTATCTGATTTTAACTTGTTATATTTACATTTTATTATTATACTATCACATCTCTAATTCTGAAATATAGTCTATATAGATGTTAGAATCTTCTCTAAATAAAATTTTGGCTAAGGATTAAGCCTATAAAATTCTATATGGACAAGCTCTGCCAACCCATCTATATTAGTCAGATCTCCTATTACTGGACACAGTACCCAACAGTTTGACTTGGTTCATGGTTTCAGAAGCTTAGTCCATGGTCAGCTGGCTCCAAGGCAGGAGCATCACGGCAGAAGAATATGGAGAAGCAAGGCTGCTTTACTTCATGGCAGCCAGGAAGCAGAGTAAGGAAACAGTGAAAAAAGGGGCCAGGGATCAGACAGAGACCCCAAGGTCATGCCTTCATGACCTGCCCAGACATACCGGGAAGTGTGCTTCCTTATGCCCTGGATGGTCCCAGCCCAACCAAGATGACACAGTTTGACTTAACTGTCACATCATTTTTCACATAGACACTGAAATCTGTTGATATGATTATCTCAGATGGCTTTATGTCATAGCTGTTACTCAATCTTCCGAATTTCATATTTTCATATGTATGAACAAGACACTTACCTCTTTATGACATTTATATTTAGGTCAGTTCCACCAAACCTGGACAGGAACTCAAAGTACGGTACACCACCAGAGCTCGTGAGAGGGATCTATACTCCAACAAGAAAATGACAGCATGTTAGGAAATTCAGATCCAAGCACTGGACTGTATGGCAGGTTTCCAAATCATAGTGTAATGTAGAATACTATTAATGGAATAGCATTCTATTAAACTTTACAATTACTTATCCAGCTGTCCCGGTTGACATGCACATATATGAATGTCAGTCTGCGCTCAACTAAAGTCAATGAGTTATCTACAAAATTATCTAAAATCTAATTTTAAATCCAGCTAAATCTAAAATCTATCTAAAAAGTGAAATTAGGATAAATATATTCTAATATTTCATATATATCTTAGAAGCTGAGGCAGAGCTCAATTTTACACTCATGTCAGATGAACTTTCTGGATAGTCATACTGCTTTAGGACAAAAAAAATCATTCTTAAGTTTAAAATTCTATAGAGGATGCTATTGGGTCCAGTGGGTCAGTCTGAACTGGAAAGAAATAAAGGCGTTATCACAGTGTTTAACTTACTGAAGTTGGCAAGTGTGCTGTGATTATGTAAGAGAATAGCTCTTATCAGGAAACATGAGATGTGGCTGAAAATATGGTGTGTGTTTAAATAAAACATTACAGTCAAAGACACATTGCCCTTCATCACTCTCAAAATGTTCCCCTGGCTTCAAACACAGTTATCCCATTGTTCTTGCTACTTTCTGCAGGAGTTCTGGAAGTGCTCTTACGTGAGTGTCTGTGGTTGTTCTGTCATGGCTGCTTTCATGTCTTGCATCAATTCAAAACATCTGCCCTCCATGGTCATTTTGACTTTGGGAAAGAACCAGAAGTCACCCAGTGCCGATTTTGATGAACGAAGTGGATGAGGGCACACTGTGATGTTTTTACAGTCTGACTTTCTGTTGGCTGGAGCTCAGCAACAGCATTCACTATATTTCTTATTATGCCTTGTAAAGACACTCACAGAAGAGGACTTCCAGAACTGCTGCAGAAAGTGGCAGAAGGATGGGACAAGTATGATCAAAGTGAGGGGAAATACTCTGAGGGGGATTCATGGTAATGTGTCTTTTACGGTAATAAAATTTTTAAATTTAAACATTCGCTATATATATATATATATATTTTTTTTTTTTTTTTTTTGGTTTTTCTCCGGTACCGGGAATCGAACTCATGACCTTGCGCTTGCCAGGCAGGCGCTTTTGCCGCTGAGCTAAATCCCCAGCCCCTTCGCTGTATATTTTAATCATCCCTTGTCTACACTGAACTGTTCAGGACTGAAGAGCTATGATATCAGCAATTTCTCAAATTATTTTTTAGAAAAAGTATTATATGTATATTGAGTGTATTTGTTACACACACACACACACAATGAGAGATCACAGGAGAAGCAAACAAGGTACAGTGTTCATAACAGGTAAATCTAAGTAGAGAGTAAATGAGTATTATCTGTGCCATATGGGAACTATTCATTTGTACCATTCTTACAGCAACTTTTCTAGAGGTTGAAATTACTTCTAAATAAAAAGTTGCATTTTTAAATAAAAATAATTATTCTAAAAAGCTTTATGAATCTAGAATTTAAATACACAATAAGCATATAAACATATACTAAGTATATGTAATTAATATAAATATATTCTATTAAGCGTCATGCAGCTACCCAAAGTGCAACTTCCCGCCCAGCCGAATGGCTCCCGAATCTGTGCCTCAGGTTTGATATTTATTTGGCCTCGGCGCCTCGCATGGTTATCTCAGTCTCCCCCAAAGGATGCATTTCTCGCTACCGTTTAAAACATGTGAAACTAGGAAACAAGACCAGAGGGAGGAGGCTGGCTCACCAGGGGCCTCTGGAGAAGGCATTTCTTGGAAAGGACACCCATGACTTCATGCTGTGAGTACATTTCTCAGTGGACGTAACTTAGAGTAAATGCTTCGACATTTCCCTCACATTACAGGAGGGCAGCGGCAGATGTTCTGTGTGGTTCTAGGCTGGATCCCGGCACGGCTGAGATAGGAGCCGGGGAGGGAGGAAAGATGATCTACTGGGCCAGCTCCTCCTCAGCAACTGGGCACAGCGCCCCCTGCAGGTTGCATGTGAGAAGCCCTCACTCCACCTGCAGAGGGTGGAGACGTTTTCTATAACTCAGGGCCTCCTCCCCGGCTCTGCCATTAATCACCAGAGATCTATAAATCCAGAGCCCAGGTCATCACACTACAGGAAAAACCCCGCCTACAAAGAAAGACATAGACTGTCAGGCAGTCCCAGCTGTCCACACATTTCACATGGATTCCAAAGTGGCCCATTCCTCGCCCTAACTGGTCTGCAGAGCTAAGCCCCTTGGACAACCAGAGTCCAGCCCACAGGGCTGGTTTGGTGCTGTCCTTCAGTACTTGTGTCTGCTAACCCAAACTGCGCCAAGGTGCGTTGCTGGAAGCCAGTTCTTAGGTTACGGCGGAGTACGGTGGGGTGGGGCTGGGGGTTTTAAATCAGATCCATCATCTGGTAAATATCTTCTAAGAAGAATTTTTCTCTAACTGGGCACAACCACCAGGCCCAGAGCAGAATATTTTTTTCCTTCTGTGGGATCTGTTTCAAGCGGGAACATCCAGAGAATAAGGCCATATTTTCAAACGCAGAATGCCCATCAGTTTTAATGGAAAGTGAGGAAACTAATGGAAGTGGGGCGGGATATAGGTGAAGCTTCCTTCGTCTCACCCTGATCAGCCGTGCAAACGCTCTGGAGCAACACGGGAGCCAAAGGAAACTCAGCCTTGAACTGTTGTGAGGGTGGATTCCGTGCAGTCCTTACTAGACTGTGAGTGTCTGCTTGGGCTTCCGTTAACCTCTGAGAAAGTTAGTGTCACCGCATGGATTTGTCACGGAAAGATCTACGGAAGCCACTCTGCAGAGACAGGGCAGAGCAGGATTGGTGGACTTCATTCCCATGACCTCGGCCTCTCATAAAGCCACCACAGCCCCTGACTGACCACAGTCCCCAACTGGCCCAGAGGCCCCGCAGCCTTCCGGGAAGCCTGCCAAGACCTGCTCTTCCACGAGCCTTTGAAGTTCTTTGGTGCTTGGTGACTTCTTTGAAAAACAGATGTAGCTTTTGAAAACAGATATGCATTTCACATTTTCTGTACTTTTTCTCTTCCTGCATAGCTGATTCACTTGGGAAGGCTGTCAAAATTTTAAATTCCTGTTAGAGCATCACTATAAAGACAGGAAATAATATTTTAACTCTCCATTTGGCACAATGTGTCAGCGACATCAGTCCTCTGAGGAATCAGAAGCAGTGTTTTACACGAGGGCAAACGGCCTTTAGAAGTAAGAGAATGTGACCTATGACTCAGAAATTGCTCTCAGAGGTGGGCGCCGAGAAAACCGGAAACACGACCCACACAAACACTTGGACCTCGGTGGTCACGGCACAGCTACAAAAGTCAGAAAGTGAGAACAATTCCAAGTCCATCAGCTAATGAAAGGGCAAACACAGTGTTCACCCAATGGACTGATATCTGGCCATAAAAAGGAATGAAGGAGTGATCCCTGACAGCGTGCCGAAAGAAGCCAGACACAAAAGATCCTGCATTGTACGATCCGTTCCTAGGAAATGTTTACAATCTACAGGGACAAAAAGGAGATCAGCTGTCTCCGGGTACAGGCAGAAGGAGATGGGAGTAACCACTGAGCATAGGGCTTCTTTTTTGGTGAGGAAGTGGTGATAGCTGCACAACTGGGAATATATTAAAGCATACACCTGGGTGTGGCAGCGCACCCCTGTAATCCCAGCACTCTGGGAGGCTGAGGCAGGAGGATGCTAAATTCAACCCCAGTCTGGGCAGTTTAGTGACTTAGCAAGACCCTGTCTCAAATTTAAAAATGAAAAAAAGGCTGGAGATATATTCTGTGCAAAGGCCCTGGATTCAGTCTCCAGTGCCAAAAAATAAGTAAATAAATAAAATTTTTAAAAGCATTGATTGATACATGTTAAAAGGGTAAAGTTATAGAAATTACAATCTTAATAAAGCTGTTAAAAATGTAGATAACAATAAAGGATGGCATAAAAAAGCAGTTACGTCCTCGTTGTGAAATCCTAGGAGCAAATAAAGGGGAAACATTAAAAAAGGGAAGAGAAAACTCCTTGTCTCCCTTCTCCACCCCAAGTCCCCTTTCCACAGCCATGGGGGGCAGAGGAAGACCGGGTCTGCAGTGTCGGGAGCCACGGGAGCCAGAGGGGGACCTGGGGTGAGGTTGGCATCGTCACAGTGGGGAGCAGAGGGCCACAGGAAGTGCTAGGTCACAGAACGGGGAGGTTGCTTAAACCAGTAAACACGCCAAGAATAATGGAAGAAACCCGCTCAGTGTGAGGGTAGTTACAACCAGGGAACGGGAAAGGGCGGAGTGACCCCTGGAGGGCTGGGTTAGGACTGACGGTACTGGTGTGAACTCTGGGTTTTCAATACCTGCAGATCAACACAGAAAGAGACGTAGCTCTCAATGCAGGCGTACAGGCGGGGACAAGTGGGTCCCCCAATGTCATGAGCCACCCCAGTGCCAGATCCCGGCTTCCCCAATCTTTTTGTACTCCGAGGAGCCAGGACTCTGGGATATCACGAACGATTTGAAGACCAGGGAAAGGGAGGTAGAGGTGAGACTGGGATCTCTGAGGAAGCAAAGAAGGGCTCGAGGAGGGATGAGGACATCAAAAGGACCCAGACCCTGGCCTGCAGGGCTGCCACCAGCCACGCTGGGGTCATCTAAACAGCAAAAGAAAGAGAGTGATGAACGGACTCGCTTATCAGGAAATCTTGAGTCCCTGCAACGGTATAAATAGTAAATGAAAGTCAGATGAAGAATGGGATATTCAGTAATTTCTAAATTTTGCTCACAAAATCTGTCTTAATGACAAAATGCCTCCCATGGGAAAAGTTGAGCAATCCTGTGGCAATCAGTGATCGAAGTGAACCTCAGCAGCAAAGGGACTAGTTCCGGAGTTCTCACAGTAGTGACAATTCAGCCTCGCCACTGTGACATTTCTGCCAGGGACACCGGCCTGCAGGCGGCCATCGGGACACACCAGACAAACCCAGGCCGGGCCACTCCACAGGGCAGGCCTGCTGCGCTCCACAGGTCAATACGTAAGGGTCACGGAAGCCAAGGACAGGTGGAAGACCTGTAACCAGAGAGATGTGAAAAACAGACGCAGGGGCCGGGGATATAGCTCAGCGGCATGGCACCTGCCTGGCAAGCGTGAGGTTGTGAGTTCAATTCCTGGGAGAGAAAACAAAACAAAACAGAATACAAATGCAGTGCAGCTGTGACCTGGATCCTGCCAGGCCTCTGCAGGACAACTGGGAAACCCAGCTGGCATCCAAGGCTGAGATGCGAGCCCTGAGTCAAGGCTGACATCTCTGTTCCGATGGCTGGGTTGTGGCTATTACAGGACAGTGTCCTTGTCTGAAGGAAATTCTAAAATATTTAAAAGTAAAGGAACAACTTACTCCCAAATTGTTTGGGGAAAAAAAATGTTCTTGGCACTGTAATTCCAACTTTTCCGTAACTTTGTGATTGCTTAAAAGAGATGGGAAAGCTCAGAATTTGTGGCAGAGATTTAGGGTGGGGTCAAAAAAGAAGGTACAGGTCTGGAGTTTCCCATTCTTGGTGTCTTTTGGCCGGAGTGCAGGTCACGGGCGGCGCCAGCAGAGTGGCTAAAGCCCCAGGGGATGACCCACTGCTTTCTGGATGAAAAGACAAGCACACCGAACTCAGAGCAACCACGGCCTTGGGAACGCGGGGAAGAGAACCGCTTTCTGGGTGAAACTGTCCCAGGTTTCTAGCTGACCACTGAATCATGCATGTGTAGATCCGACCCAAAGAGGCGCAGCCAAGGACGGAAGGGCTGAGCTGAGACGGGAGCTGTGCCCACTGTGGGCAAGACGGAGTTGGAAGTCGGCTGCCTGTCAAAGCGGAAGTGTCTGAAGCAGGGAGACAGAAGACACCTAGGGAGAGTGGACCTCAGCCCTCCGCGCAGGCGTGGTTGGGCTCGGGTTCTGTTTTCTAAGGTTTGGGTATCGTTTTCCTAACCTAATAAGAGGCTCCCAACAGTCAGCTAAACAGTCGGTTTCTGTAAAGTATGACATGTATCACAACGAGCGGGTCCCTGAGGGAAGGTGAAAGAATTTCTGAGTAACACCGGCCCAGAAGAGGCAAGGAGTACAGGGATGGTCTGGCAAAGAGATGGGAGCAGCAGTCAGGGAAAAGCCCAGCCAAAGAGGGAGTGGGGAGATCCCATAAAGGATACTATGGCCTGGAGGCTGAATAAGCAAAGGATTAGTGGGATGTTCTTATACAGGAATAAAACAGTCCTGCCTCTCTAAAAATTGTCTTTGGTCGGGCGTGGTGGCGCATGCCTGTAATCTCAGCACTAGGGAGGCTGAGGCAGGAAGATTGCTGTGAGTTTGAAACCAGCTTGGGTTACAAAGCGAGTTCAAAGCCAGCCTGAAACCCTGTCTCAAAAAGACAAAATAAATAAATAAATAAAAATAAAAATTGTCTTTGTTCTGTTTGTGCTGATAATTTTAGTTCAATATAGTCTTTTTTTTTTTTTTTTTTTTTTCAAATAAAAACCCTAGGCTGGGGATATAGCTCAGCAGTACAAGTGCCCACCTGGCAAGCCTAAGGTCCTGAGTTCGATTCCTGTACAAAAAAAAGACCAAAAAAAAAGGAATAAATAAAAACCCTAGACTAGGAGTCCCTGTGGCAGCCTGTCCAGGTCCCCTCCTGGTTCAATACCCAGGGGCTTTCTATGTTTCCTGTACAATAAATGCTGCTTTCTGCCTTTGCCCTACAATAAATACTTCCGCTCAGCTCTCTTCTGACTCTCTGCCTTGTAATTCTTTCTAGGTTGAGAGAAGCCCACCAGCTGGACGGTACAGTGTCCCCAGTCCCCAGAGGACTCTGGTGAGATCGAGTCCCCACGGCACCCCTCTCGCTCAGCGCCCTGGTGCGGAAGAACAAGCAGAGCCATGCGCGGCTCTGGAGCGCTGGGAAGGTGGCCAGTCTGAATGATTTGCTGAAACTTTTTTGCTTTACTTAATATCAGCTAATTTGAAATCTAACCATTGTACTGATTCAGTTATTAGAAAACATTTAAGTCTGTTTGGAACAGATGAGGGTGTGAATCTGCTATTGCAACTGGAGGCTTTATGAAATCACAATATAAAGGATTTAAATGAAACCGCAGTTGTCTGAACTGAAGTCTACTTAAGTGGAAAGTATTTGCCAAATTTGAAGATTTAAGCCATGACAAGAATGTTAAATACCTTATTAATAATTTTAACAATGATTACATATTCAAATAATACTTTTGCTACATTTTGTCAAACCATTATTGAAATTAATCCCACTAACTTTTATCTTTTAATGTGGCTATTAATAAATTTTACATTACAAATATGGCTCACGTTATATTTCTTTTGGACAGCCCTGGGCTGGGATATTTCCCAAGTATGCTCAAATATGAGCAATCATGGGCATATGAGCCTTTTCAAGGTAAAAGATAATCAACCCAGGCCAACTCTGAGATGAATAACATGTTAGACTTACCAGACAAAGGCTTTAACACTGTTATTTTAGGGGCTGGGGATTTAGCTCAGCGGCAAAGCGCCTGCCTGGCAAGCGCAAGGTCGTGAGTTCAGTTCCCGGTACCAGAGAAAAACCAAAAAAAAAACAAAAAAACACTGTTATTTTAACGCACTCAATGAGTTAAGAGAAATGTGTTCATAATTGGAGAAAAATCAGAGAGTGTAAGCTGTGTAAATAGAAATTATAAAAAGGAACCAAGTGAGCCAGATGCGGTGGCACGTGCCTCTGATCACAGCTACTTGGGAGGCTGAGGCAGGAGGATGGCAAATTCAAGGCCAGCCTGAGAACCTAGAAAGACACTGACTTAAAATAAAAAATGAAAGAAAGATGCTGGGGATACAACTCAGTGGTAGAGTACTTGCCTAGCATGTGTAGGACCCCTGGATTCAATTACCAGCACCACACACACACACACACACACACACACAAGAACCAAAGGGATATTCTAGAACTGTAATATACAATGTCTAAAGTGCAAGATTCACTGACTGGGCTTCACAGCAAAGCAGACAGAATAAGAACAAGTCAGTAAATCTGAAGCCAGGTCAATAGATATCCTCCAACCTGAAAAACAGAGACAATAAAATATTTCTAAAAATACACAGAGCTTCAGCCACCAGTGGGACAGTGTCAAATATCTAGAAGAAGACATGGTGAGGCAGCAACAATTTTAGGAAACATTGCTGAAAACCTCCACAATTCAGGAAAAGACAAAATTGAAGACAAGAGAAAATGAGCAATACCACGGAAAGCACAAAAAGAAAGAACAGAACTGTGAGAGAGAGAGAGAGAGAGAGAATGAGTGTGTGTGTCAGGCCCTGATTGAAGACTAGAATTTGGGGATATCTAAAACTCACTGAACCGTTTGTTTTCAGGACACACAGATTCTCACATGTAGAAAGTATGGGAGTTGGGTTGGATTGGAATAGCCGGGCATGGCAGCCGGGCATGGCACCTGTAATCCCAGTACTCAGGAGGCAGAGGCAGGAGGATTGCCATGAGTTCAAGGCCAGCCTGAACTACATAGGAGCCCCTGTCTCAAAACCAAACAACCAACAAAGTTCTCTGTGATAGCGTGAGGTCAGACTGTTAAGAATGAACTGATGTGTAGTGTTCACGTCTGTCTGTATACAGGCGCATGTGTGTACAAATTTGGCCACTGATTTGGAAGGAACACTGCTGATACCCCAGCCCAACTTTTCCTCACCTAACCCTGCTATGTTGATCCTTAGAGACTACTTTGGAGAAGGCTGAATTCCCCCTGCGTGTCATGTTCCTTTGCTACAGGCCCTGAGGACCTGGACCGTGAACGTTCCGTTCTTCCCCTCGCCCCAGCAGGGTCCACGCCATTGGTCGGCCGGCAGCCCTCCTTCTGCAAATCCCTGCTGCAGAGCCTTCATGAGCTCCCTACCACATCCAGGAGGAAGCTCAAACTCCATGAAGTGCTCTTCAGGGCTGGCTCTGCTAACCACACCCCTACCTTTATCCTTCACTGAAAATAGGAAAGACTCCACTGGGGTCTTGGAATACACAAGGCAGGCTACGCAAGCACCCGGCTCTCCTGTGGCTGTTCTCTCTGCCTATGCATCCTGAGCCTTCCAGGACTGGGTATGGTGGGACGCACCTGTAATTCCAGCACCCAGGAGGCTAAGGCAGGAGGATCACTGCAAATTCAAGGCTGCCTGGGCTACATAGTGAATTCTGAACTACATAGTGAGACCCTGTCTCGAAAAAAAAACAAACCCCCCCAAAATAGCCTTGCAGCACCATCCCTCACTCACAGATAGCTCACCAGCCTCAGCTCCTGGGCATCATATAGCAATCGTACCCCAGCCCTGGCTACCACCCAACACCTGCCTCCCTGGGCCATGAATTCCTCAAGGGTGGCCGGTGCTTGGTATATACGGACCCCCGGTGCACTGGCAAGCATATATGGGAGATGCTTGATACCCTTTGGTGCAAGGGTACTTGCCAAAATATTAAATTCCAAAATGCAAGTTGATCAGATGCTCTTTTAAGAAAGCTTTAAAGAAAAGAAAAACTAGAAGAAAGTGGCTTGCACTGCTACATGCAAAAGACGACCAAGCCGAAGAGGGCTGTGACCTTCCACGTTGGCCAGAACTCAACTGAGGAAATTAGAAGAAACGAGCACACTTTAAGCTGCTCCTTGGGGACCATGGGGAGAGAAGTCTGAAGGGGTCCCGAAGGTCACTGCGTACCTGGGCCAGCACATCCTGGAACTGCTCCCTGGTGAGCGGGAGCAGGAAGGTGGCGATTATTCTCTTCAGCTCGCCCCTTGTCACCGTCAGGTCCTGGCCAGTATCGAGCAGCTGGAAGGCTTTTTTCAATTCATCCTTTTTGTCAGTGATTTTTTGAAATAAAATCCGCTTAACATCTAAGAAGGACAGCACTGGATTTGCAGCAGCTGAGGCTGTAAAAGGGATACAGAAATTAATTAAAAATGTATAAAGCTAAGTGACTAAATAAAAACTGCTGCACTGAACCAAGGGGCATTTCTTCTGCTAAATTTAGGTTTCTGTGTCTAATCATTTGAGGGTTTGTAATGGAAAATCTACAGTCATTTTTCTCCTCTGAAATTTGGTACAGAATAACATTAATGACATTAGTAAGAAGAAAAAAAAATAAAACAAGAGGCAAAGATAATCTTCCCTATTGGGATATTAAAAGAAAAACATGAATATTGGAAGAAAATTTAGCCAAGAGTTAATATCAAATTAATCTTTAAAGGGCCATAATCACCTTTCATGGCTTTCCCAATTCTTTTTTTTTTTTTTTTGGTTTTCTTCCAATACCAGGAATCAAACTCACAACCTCACGCTTGCCTGGCAGGCGCTGTGCCGCTGAGCTAAATCCCCAGCCCCCAGCTTTCCCAATTCTTGAGGGAAAAAAAGTATGATTCTTAAACGTGGGTCATTTCCCTTCCTAAGACAGGAGGAGCTCCAGGTCCCTGATGTGGAAAAAAATGTTTAGAATTCTCTACACAAAAATGCAGGGCTCTGATGGGCCCAGAAGGCAGGGTCCCAACTGATGTTTTAGGTCATAGGGTCTGAGTGTCATCTCTAGGAGGTGACAGACTACAGGGCTCCCTCTGCTCCATTTCAGATGAGAACCATGGGAACAAGTGAATGCGGTGCCGGTCAGCACTATTGGCATGAAATCGTGATTATCCAATCTGATCTTCTACAACCAGCTAGGAAAGCGGCGGTTAAGAGTCATGGTTGCTTGGCAAATCCCTCATATTTACTGCAAAAGCTTGGCAACCATTGTTTATCCAGTGTCCTTCCTTACCTGGAAACTGGGGATGTATGTTACACAGCTTTATTGCTGGTGAGGATTCAGGAAAAACCAACCCTTATGCACTGTGAGCAGGAATGCAAATTAGCACATCTATGACGTAAATAAGTATGTAGGTTACCCAAAAACCTAAATATAGACCTACTATTTAAACCAACTATACCACTCTTTGATATATTTCTGAAAGAATTAAAGCCAGAATACTATAGAGATACCTTCATACCCATGTTTATTGCAGCCCAATTTATGATACCTAAGCTAGGAATTAACCTAGGTGTCTGTCATCAGATGAGTAGAGAAAATGTCTGGTCCCTGCCCCTTCCTCTGGCTCATCTTAGCTCTGCCCTGTTGCTCTGGCCTGGCTGCCATGGGTTGAGCACATCTGCTTCACCACATCCTTCCACCACGATGCTTCTGCCTTGGACCAAAATAGCCATGGACTGAAACATCTGAAACCACAAGCCACGTTAAACCTTTTTGGTCTTTAAGTTATTTATGCCAGGTATTTTGTCCAAGCAACAAAAAGATGACTAATGCCAAAAAGTAATTATTAGAGGAGAGGAAGGAGACAGACAGGAAGGAGGAAGGAGACAAGTGCATGAAAACGATCAAAGTAGGTTATCCGCATGCCCAGATCTGCCAAGATGAAGCCCATTTGTCTAATAACTCCTAAATAATGTGCGCTAAAAGCACACACGACACAGTACCTGAAGTTCAGACCACATGTGTTTTACTTAACAGCAATCTGTACATGGTAGAAGAAAATAAAACTGGTGAATATGAAGTCAAGTCCATACAATTATTCCCATTGAAATGCAGATACAAAGAATGCATGAGTGTATTTAAGAAATCAACAGAGGGCTGGGGATACAGCTCAGCGGCACAGCATCTGCCTGGCAAGCGCAAGGTCCTAAGTTCGATCCTTCCTACCAAAAAAAAAAAAAAAATCAACAGAAGCCAAGTATGGTGGTACATGTCTGTAATCTCACCGTTTTAGGATACTGAGGTAGGAGGATCACAAGTTCAAGCCCAGCATGGGCAATTCAACAACTCAGACCACCTCAAAATAAAAAACAGTAGGGGATAGCTCAATGCAAAGGCTCTGGTGCAATCCCCAGTACCTCCAGAAAATCAACAGAAACAAAAAGCAAATAATAAAAAAGAAAAGATACTTGCAGCACAGAAGGTAAAGTATTACTATCTTTAATACAAAAAGAGCCCATCCTAGTCACTAATACAGACCAACCCATTAGGTAAATGGGCAAAGCTCGTGAACAGGAAACTCACAGATAAGCTAGGTACACCTGAGAATTAATATTACTTACTGTGGAGAAATATGAATTAAAATCACAAAATACATTTTGTACACTAAATGGACAAGATTTTAAAAGATGATATTCTGTGTTGGGTATTTGGAAATGAGCGATGAACATCTGCCTATAAGTGCTACTGGAAATGTGTACGTACAACTTCCGGGAGGGTAATTTGGTAACCTTCAACAAGAGCCCTAAGAGCACAAATGACTTTGGCCTGGTAATCCCATCTCATCCTTGTCTTCTTTGTACTATCAGAAGGCTAGTTAAATAAGCTAAGATGTAGCCAAGTTATATTGTAGACATGGAGCCCCTGAACTGCAGTGGATTGACAGACTACTGTGTACCTTTATGTCACAAAGTGCTCAGTTAACCTCTGCCATCCATTCTTTTTTTTCCTTAGAAACAGACCTGAGTTCTGGGGAGACACAAGGCCATCGGAGAAAAAGTCTATATTTTCCAGGCCCAATAGTGAATGTATATGACCATGAGGCCAAGGTCTCAACAACTGTGAATATGCACAAGTGTCCAGTGTGACTTCTGACTAGGAGGTTTTCCCACCTGAAAAGCAAAAGCCACTCTCTCCTTTCATAATGTCCCCTCGGAGGCCCCCTACTCCTCAGGCTGTCCCGCGGGCCTTGCCCAAGGTTTCTGTCTGCTGTCTGTCTTGTGAACCTTCTTCCCCGACTGAGCTCCCCCAGGCTGAGACCCTTGTCCCATCCACCTCTTTATTCCCAGACCCTGCCCCCATGCTGGTCAGGAACTGCCGTTCAAACTGTGCTTGTGAATAAATGAATGAATACATTATAGAAGAAAGGAATGAAATTAAAAGACATAGTTTGGGGAAATAATAATGTCAAATGTATTGCTTTTAAAACTGAATGAGAATTCCAACTATAAGTTTAATATTTATGTTCACACAAAACTCAGTATGCAGATATTTATAGCAGCCTTATTTATAATTACCAAAACATGGAAACTACCAAAATGTCCTTTAATTAGTGAAGAGATAAACAAACTGGCAAGGTATAGGGTAGACTATCATTCAGCAATAAAAATAAATGGATATAACAGTGAAAAGGAAAAGTAGCTTTTTTTCAACCAGGTACAGGAACACCGGACAGCCAGTACATAAAAGAATGAATCTCAACACGGACCTCATAGCCTTTGCAAATTAACTCAGACGGGTCACAGAACTAAAGGTAAAACTTAAAACTAAAAAACTAGAAGGTAACAGGAAAAAATCTAGATGACCTTGGTTTTGGGTATGACTACCTAGATGCAATCCATGAAAGAATGAATTGATTTCATTAGATTTAAAATTAAAAATTTCTGCCAGGAGTGATGGTGCACACCCGTAACCCCAGCACTCAGGAGGCTGAGGCAGGGGGATCGCCCCAAGTTCAAGGCCAGCCTTGTACTACATGACAAGACCTTGTCTCGAAAAAAAAAAAAAAACTAAAATTAAAGATTTCTGCTCTGCAAAACCACATCAAAAGAATGAAAAGATAATCACTTACTGGGAGGAAATACTTGCAAAACATTGTCTGATAAAGAATATTATTATAAATATGCAAAAAACCCTCAACAATAAAAAATCAAACAACCTAATGAAAAAGTGAGCAAAGACTTTAATAGACATATCATCAAAGAAGATGTGCAGATGGCAAATAACCATAAAAACAAATGCTCCACACCAGATGTCATGAGGGAAATGCAAACTGAACAGCTTGACACTGCTATGCACCTATCAGAACGGCCAAAATCCGGAACCCGACCACACCAAGTGCTGGTGAGGACGTGGAACAACAGGAACCCTCAGCCCTCACCGCTGGCAATACAGTGAGCACTGCGCAGACACTCAGGAAAAGAGTCTGGCAGATGTTTGCGAAGCCAAACGTACTCTTACTGCAGCATCCAGCAGTTGTGCTCCTTGGTGTTTACCCAGAGGAGCCGAAAACTCACACAAAACCCCACACAGAGATGTCTATGGTAGCTTCATTCATAATTGCTAAAACTTGGAACAACCAAGATATTTTATAGTTGGTGAACGGATAGATAAATGGGTGCCTCAGATAATGGAATATTATCTAGCGCTAGATAGAGATGAGCATTCGAGTCACAAAAAGACATGAGAACCTTAAATGCACATTACTGTTTCTCTGAAAAGAAGACCTAACTAGCAAATAATCAGCCTTGAAAACTAGAGATCAAAAATGCCAGCCCCAATCAGCCTGTCCTTGCCGGACCTGCCTTACCCTGCAGAAGAGCTAGCCAGCAAGAGAACGGTGAGGTATAATCTTCTGCGTGACAATGGCCATCGCCATGGAAATGGTCAGCGCGGGCTTATTCTTGGTAAGGTCTTATTTTGGGGAAAACACCGTATAAAATGGAAGGCCACTCTGTGAAGGCTACAGACCGTGAATTACAACTGTATAGCACCCTGGAAAAGACAAGGCTGGAGAGACAACAGAAATATCGGTGGTTGTCAGGGGTGAGTAGGAAGGAAAGGATGAATAGGTGCAGTGCCGTGTTTTTAAGGCAGCAAAACTACTGTACTCTGTATGACACCCTACTGTACTCTGTATCCACCCTACGGATGGATCCATGTCTTTCAATACGTTTGCTCCAACCCACAGAACATGCAGCGCCACAAGGGCATTCTGGGGTAAGCTGTGGACTTGGATATATATGATGCATGGGCTTCAGGTACCAATTTTAGCTCACGAGTCATAGTAAATGTACCTCACTAATATGAGATCCTAACACAGGGATACCTGACGGATGGGGAAGGTGTACGGAGCCCTTATATAGTTTCCGCTCGATTTCTCCGTAAACTAAAACTTTTCCAAAAAAAATAAAGTCTACTCATTTTTTTAACTGAATGAATCGTTACCTTCTCTGACACAGCAGTTAAGTCCATGGATCCCAAAACCACAGTGCCTGGATTCAAATCCTGACCCATCCACTTTTTTTTTATGAGTACATATCTGCAGTACCTAATGACTACATTTATGGTGGGGGCTGGTGCACGCAACACAGCTCAAGGATTCTTCCATCAGTCCCAGCCCCCCACCCAACTCCTTCCAGCTCTTGGTCCCCTTCCCATTCGTCAAAGCTCTACTTTCATTTTTTTCCTTCTTCTGTCCCCTTTCCCTTCCCTTCCTCCTCCTCTGTCTCTTTTTAACACATGCATTTGAAAAAGATCTCTCTACTTCCTATTTCTCTATTTTCTTTTTTAATATATACCTATATAAATATAGATAGATATCACATATATACATTCATATATATAAATATAGATAGAAGAGGGCAAGTTTCTCATATAAGAGAAACCATGTATTATTTAAATTAGTGTTTTGACATTTCATTTTAATATCATGGTCTCAAGGTGCATGTATTTACTTATGAATGCCTCAAATTTATACTTTGTACGGTAGAGCAGCACTCCATTGTGTGTAAATACCACATTTTCTTTACCTATTCAGCTATTGATTAGCGTACAGGTCATTTCCACGATTTAGCTACTACAAATTGTGCTGCTACAAATACGGGTGTGCATTTATCCTGTAATACGATGACTTTAACTCTTTTAGGAAGATACCTAGACGTGAAATCGCCGGGTTGAATAGAATTTCCATTTTTCGTTTTTCGAGGACTCTCCACCCTGTTTTCCATAGTGGTTTACATTCTCACCAACAATGTAGAAAGTCCCTTTTTTCCCCACATGCTTGCCAGCAGTTGTTATCATTTGATTTCTTAATGACGGCCATTCTTTTATGCAGTAAGATGATAGCTCAGTGTTGTTTTAATCTGCATTTCTCAGCTGGGGATATAGCTCAGTGGCATAAGCACTTGCCTGGCAAGGCTAAGTCATGAGTTCGATTCCCAGTACCAAAAAAAGGAAAAAACAAAAAAACCTGCATTTCTCTAACGGCCAGCAATGTTGAACTTTTTTATGTATTTATTAGCCATTTGTACTTGTTCTGAGGAGTGTCTACTCATTTCAGTTGTCCATTTTTTGATGACCTGACTCATCCACTTTAGAACCCTATAACTTTTAGGCAAATGACTTACACAATCTGCGTCTCAATTTTTCCATACAGAATATAGGAATAATAATGGAATCTAATTCATGGAATTATTATGAGAATTAAACACCACAAAAAGCCTTGGGACAGAGCTTGGTATGTATTAGGTATTGATAAGTGATAACTACTGCTGGTGGTTCTATTTGCTAATAAATACTCACGTGAAGACGAAGGTCTTAACATATTTTGGAAACCATTCTTCGAATATACTCTGCACGGTGAAGAATGGGGTCTTGAACTTGTGAACTTTCGGATGGGAGGATACAAAGCGCGCCAATCTGGCACATTCATCATTTTGTTCATTAAATTCCTAGGATATAAAAGAGAGAAAATTGCGTTGTCTTAAAGCACATCTAGCCCACGTGGCCAGCTTCCCAGCCACCCCTCTTCTGAAAGGACAGTTGAGAAGATGAAAACGCTGCCAGCCATAATCTGCTGGCCAAGCTTTCAAAGACTAGCCGTAGTGCGCGCACAAAATTGTGATTTTGGACTCCTTGTTTTTAGCGGATCCAATAAACTTCAAAAATGGGAAAATACCATTGACGTTACCAGTTTCTCTTAGATCACTGAAAAGTAAGTTTTGTGCCAATATCTGTCTCTTCTTTGTCAGAATCTTTTCCGTGGATGTCATGGACTATGAAGATAATGATACACAGTGTATTAACTATTGTTATTCTCTTATTATTTTGTTATAAAATTTTCCTTTTTTTTCATAAAATAAAAAAGGAAAATAAAGACCCTTTGGGGATAGGACGATCACTGACCGACTTCCTCAGTTGGCAGCAAGGGGTGGACACTGCAGGTGCTCTGAGTGCTTGTGAAGCTCTTCACCAAAAGAGACATGGTCAGAGGCACAGCTGGGACAACAGCAGCAGAAATGGTGACCTAGGGACCTCTGTACTCACTGTCCTCCTTAAGGTCAATGAGAACACTCCAAAAACTGTCAAGATCCTTAGAAATTTAACAGACTTGTGGAAATCCGGGTAGCATTTATTCATGAAAGATGGCCAAATCTCAGTATGATCAGTAAGTTCTGCAGCATTGTAACCTGTCCCATTCCCACCCCATCCACAACTCAGAGGCTACTGCTGTGAAAACAAGAGCCACAGGGAAAACTCAGCATCCCGACAGTCACAGGAGGGACAGAACAGGGCTGGAGCCTCCTCAAAGCCCCATTACCCGAAAACTGTCATTATTTGACCCTATGGTTCCATGAAAGACCCCATCAGAAGGCTATCTTTATTCAGCTGGTTCAGAACTCACTCAGTGAGAACAGCTTATGATAAAGAGGCATTTGATGGGGGAAAAAAATTAGAGGCAACTGTGGTTTAAAAGTACAGCACCCTGAATAGGTGGATAATGGGGCAAGTAATCAGCCAAAAGGCTTAAAAAGAAAAGCTAAGGAATGAGATGTCCAACACGGCTTTGAAAAGCTCCCATGAACTCCTGGGAACCTAGAAGACGCAGAGCTATGCGCATTCCCAGAGCTCTGTACACACTCAGGAAAGACCCAAGAAGACGACACACTCTCCCCCTGGCTGACCTTGATGGTCCACACAAGCAGGAAGTGCAGGAGAAGACAGAGTTGTCCACAGAGCAATACAAACAAAGCGACTTGGCAAAATTTGGGAAACTTGCTCTCTCCAGGCATTTACCGGATGCCCAGTCAGGAGCTGACCAACAAGCTAACCAGAGACCTCATGGTTACACACAGGAAAGAACACAGACCTTAAAAAGTTTAGGAAAGTCACTAAACAAATGAGCAACAAAACAGCAAAAACATGGGAAGAAGTGAGAATATAATCTCAATAATTGCCACATATTATTTCAAATGTCAAGTTTTCAACAAAAAATTGTAAGACACGCAAAGAAACGAAGTCTGGCCCATAAACACCTAACTCTAGGAACTACGGAAGCAATAAAAGAGTGTAATGAGATGTTTTTAAAGTGTTGAAAGAAAAAACCCTACCAACCCAGAATTCTGTATCAAGAAAATTTATCCCTGAAATGTGAAAAAGAAATAAAGGTTTTCTTGGTCAAGTCACCAGCAGACTAGGTGTTATGGTTTGTGTCTGGATGTCCCGCCAAAGCCTCATACAGCCGTGGGGGCGGGCCTCTAGAGTTTGTGAGTGCCTCATGGTACCATGCTGGGATTATGGGTGTGAGCGCTACACCCGCCCGAGGATGTGTGGCCTGCATATGATACAACGGACAGAAGAGTTTTCTCTCATGCTCCTCCTTTTCTGTCCTTGCTGCTTTTGCTATCTTCCACTGCCATGAACTATTGCCCCTGTGCTGGGCCACCCTGCCTTGGAGCCAACTGATTGTGGACTGAAACCTCCACAAATTGTGAGCTAAATAAACCTTTCCTTCCTTAATTTTGGGCATTGGGTATTTTGTCTCAGCAATGAGAGAAAAGTAACCAAGACACTCACTTCCTCCCAAAAAAAATTCAAATAAATTCATCAGAAAGAATGGAAAATGAAACAGATGAGACACAGTACTGTATAAAGAAAGGAAGAGCTTTGGAGAAAGAATAAATGAAGGTAAAGTGAACACATTCCTCCAAGGGAAGAGGCCAAATGTTCACAAAGCAGAAACTCATAAAGTTACATGGAGAAACAGACACTTCGGCAATAATAACTGGAGGGTGCCATATCCATATTTAATAATGGGTAGAAGAACTAGAAAATGACAATCAAGAAAGTAGAAAACTTGAACAGTGCTAAAAGATAATCAGGCCGAACAGACACCTAAAGGTCACAGCCACCAGTCAGGAGAGCACACATCCTTCTCAAATACACGGAGCATCTTCCAGGCCACAGATGTTAGGACATAAAGCAAGCCTCAGCAAAGGTAAAAGGACACAAATTATCACAATATGTTCTCAAGCCACACCAGAATGAAATTAGGAATTAATAATCCACAAGTATGTGGAAATTAAACAACACACTCCTAAATAACCAACAGGTTAGAGAAAAAAAAAATCACAATAAAAACTAGCAAATACTTTTTTTTTGAGACAGGATCTTTCTCTGTAGCCCAGACTGGCCTCAGACTCACAGTGATTCTCCTGCCTCAGCCTCCAGAGTGCTGGGTTTACAGGCATGTGCCACCACACCTGGTTTGGCAAATACTTTTAGAAGAAAAGGAAGGCATAGCATACTAAAACTTATGGAAAAAAAAAAACTTATGGAACGCAGCTAAAACAATGCTTACACAGAAATTTAGAGATGCATGTCTATATTTTAAAAGAAAATCTCAAATTAATAGATTAAGCTTCTTTCCTTAAGAAACCAGAAAATTAAAAGTAATCTAAACTCAAAATGAGAAGAATGAAAGATTAGAACAGAAATAAAATCGACACCAGAAAAACATAGAAAACCAACAAAACAAAAAATTAGTTGCTTTAAAATATTAGTAAAATTGACAAATTTTTAGCTAGACTGGGCAAGAAAAAATAAGAACACTCAAATTATTACAGAAACAAGGAGGATTTTCCTGATATTGCAGAAATAAGGAGCATTATGAGAGAATTCTATGAACATTTATATACAAACAACTGAGGTAACAGATGAAATGGAAAAATTCTTATGAAGACACAGGTTATTTAAAGTGACTAAAGAAGAAACAGTCTGGATAGAAGTATGGAAAATAAAGAGACTGAGTTAATAAGAAAAATTTCCTTCAAAAAAAAAAGTCCAGGATCAGATGGGTGCGTTAGAGTATTCCAGCAAATATTTAAGCAATAATTAAAACCAGTCCATTACAAACTCTTCCATAAAATGGAAGAGAATGAAGAGGATGATGCTGGGTGTGTAGCTCAGTGATACACACACACACACACACACACACACACACACACACGGAGAGGGGAATGAATTGGTGGCATTTCCTAACACTTATTTTCACAATAAGGCCAGTATTATTCTGATACCAAAACTGACAATGCTATCAGAAGAAATAAAAGCCCAAAACCAACATACTATACAACCATAAGGAAATTTTTCAACAAAATACTAGTCAACTGACTCCAGCAACATACTAAAAAATACATGTAGCATGACCCGTTGGGCTTGGTCCCAACAATGTAGAGATGACTGAATACACAACAATCAGTCAGTATAATATTCTTTATTAGTAGAACCTGGGGGCCAGGGACATAGCTCAGCAGTACAGTGCCTGCCTGGCAAGTACAGGGACCTGAGATTGATTCCTGGTGCGCGCGCGCACACACACACACACACACACACACACACTCACAAATAGAATCAGGGGAAAAAACGCACGATTATCTCAATAAATGCAGAAAAAGCACTTCACAAATCTTATACCCTTTTGTAGTTAAACAACAACAAGCTCTCAATAAAGTAGGAATAGGAAGGCATTTCCTTGACTTAATAAAACGTATCCAAGAGAAATACACAGATGACAAATACCACACTTAATGATGAGACACCCCAGGCATCACCCCTATGATCAGGAACCAAGAGAACAATGCCTGCAGCAGTGCATGGGGGCACACAACTGTGCCAGGGGTACGGTAGCACTGTGGGAGCCTGAGGCAGGAGTAGCAAAAGTTTGAGCCCAGCCTGGATGCTTTAGAGAGAGCCTGTCTCAAAATAAAAAATAATAAAGAGCTAGGGATGTAGCTCACTGTGAAGACCCTGTGTTCAATCCCCAGTACAGGAAGGAAAGAGAAAGAAAGAAAGAAAGAAAGAAAGAAAGAAAGAAAGAAAGAAAGAAAGAAAGAAAGAAAGAAAGAAGGGAAGGCAGGAGGGAGGGAGGGAGGGAAGAAGGAAGGATATCTGCTCTTACCACTTCGGTTCAACATTGCACTGAAGGTTCTAGCAAAGACAATCAGACAAGAAAAAGAAAAAAGATCCACGTTGGAATCTAAGAAGTAAAATGACCTCTACTTGTGATTCTATTATATTCAGAAAATCCTAAGGAATCCAGACATACACAATTAGAATGAGTAAACAAGTCTAGTGATATTTTGAGACTAAGATCAATATGTAAAATCAACTGTATTTCCATACACCTACAATGAACAGTCTCAAAATAAAATTCAGAAAGCAATTCCAAAGCTGAGCATGGTGGTGCATGTCTGTAATCCCAGCATTTGGGAGGCTGAGGCAGGAGGATCATCATGAGTTTGAGACCAGCCTGGTTTATAAAATGAACTCAAAACCAGCCTGAACTGCATGGTGAGACACTGTCTCACAAAGACAAAGAAAAAAAAAAAAAGAAGCAATTCCACTGACAATAACATCAAAAATAATAAAACATGGGAATATATTGAACAAA